CTACTTACTTCGTGTAGTGCCCAGCTATTGTTGTATCTCTACACCGTATCCTCCACAGTGTCTACAAAGTTGCATGCAGGTGCGGTCTATCATCGTTCAGTGAGCGCATGGGGTGGGGTTCTTCTTCAGCGGGTGACTTCGCTTCAATGGTTCTGACAGCCAGGTTTGCAATGTCAGGGAAGTCGAGGGGGAGTAGGTGAAGCACCATTGCACAAATCCTTTTCTGCAGATGCAGCATGGTGAGTGTCTTAGTACCTGTGTCTAGGTCTATACGAAGAGCTGCATCTTCTAGCAGTTTTGTAGTTCTGATGATGTAAACGGCAAGAGAAGTGCTGGATGCAATTCATGCATCTAAGTCTCCAAGGATGTTGTCAATCTCACGAGAGTATGTAGGGGTCAGAATAGCGGTTTCATTGAATGTGCTGTTCTCAATCATCCTGAGGATTCTTCCATAATCGGAGTCCTTCAGGGATACAGTGACAGGAGTTTCTTCAGTGGGAGTCATCATGATGGTGGGAGTTTCTGGGGAATGATATCTGTAGGAGGGTGTCTTATATATTCTCCAATCATTCCAAGCTCCGCTGAGTCAGACTTATCTTTTGTTTCATCTTGATCTCTCTATCAAGGTTCAATCGTGAGGGCTTATTGATGCCTCATGTCTTGGCAGAGGGGATGGTCACCATGCCAGTTTGTTCTTGATCTGTGTCTTTTGTTATAAGTCACAATCATGGATATGCTACCATTATCTTTCATTTGGCTAAGATCTAGGTGCATGTGTGCATTCCTTATACTTCTGGTTCAAAGTTTCAAGTCAGCAGATCTAGAGGATCTAAGGGCTTGCAGGAGTTTCCGAAGGTTCACCTCATGATAGTTTCAAGTCATTCCAGACAATCAGGGAAGGTAAGGGATCCAGGCTTGCAGGAGTTTCTGGGGTTCAGTCCTCGTCTTTGTCATCTTCTTGATCTTTTTATGGTGTTCACACAGATGTCAAAGGTGCTAGTTGAATAAGGGGGCCTAGGGGTTGCCCTTTCTTCAGTAGTTTCACATCTTCTTGGATGATCATAGTTTTAATCTCATTTCGGAGGTAATCTAGTTTTATATCATTACTGACATGGATAGTTTGACCTCTTTTCAGAGGTTTGCGCAGTTTTAAAGTCATGCTGGACTTCGGATAGTTTAAGGTCATTGCAGACCAATGTGTCGGCAAAGTCAAAATGGGAAGATCTAAGATTTAAAAGTGAAAATAATGGGAATTTACCCTGTCACTAAGTGGTGTAGGAACTGATTCCTGGCTAGGCTTGTAGAGACTGTTTTACTTAGTGTTATGTTTGCACCTTAGCTTACATAAAAAAGTTACCTTTTCATCAGTTACCAGTATGAGTCTGAGTCCTCAGCAATTTTCATGACAGTCCCTCTCCTCTGAGCCTTGAGCCTGGTCCAGAAACCCTTTAGGGTTGAATAGCAGCTAGGTTCTGCAAGACCCAACACATTGTTCTGAATCACCATCAGAATTGTTGTACCCACAGCGGTTTTATCTACCATGACCAACCAATCAGAAATCTAGGTCAAATTCTCCACAGTCGAGGTTTTTGGTGATGGGTATGGGTATGTAACCCATCATTCTGATTGATGTAGGTTTGGCATTGTTGTCAGAATCTATATCATCAGCCAGTAGGGCTGGAGCGGGCACCAGGGGGGGTCAATGGTCTGGTGTTCAATCATTGAAGCACCATGTCAAAGTAATCTTCAACCCAGTTATCATTGGGTTCTACCAATGACATGTGTATGTCAGTGTAGGACTTGGAGTCCTTGTGGCCTCGTAGAGGTCTATTTTCTGATGCATGTTGAATGCTAATCATTACCTATCATACCCGACTCAATACACACCAAACCCAAAAACATCGGACATCGGGTATCGGACATCGGACATCGGACATTGGGTTTCACATTGGGTTTTGCATCAGCCTATTGGATATCATGCACACTTGTCCTACCTATGTCCAGTCTCATTGCGCTAGCCCCACTAGGTGCGTAGTTACTTGTTTTCACATCCCTAACATTGTCGACCACGTTATTACATGTATTCCCATAGTCCGCAGTACATCATGTCTTATTACATAGGACATTGAACCCGAAATATTGTGCTGCTACTTTCGCCTATAGGGTTCCAGATTTCTATGTATCTACATAAATATTGGACTCCCCATAGCATCATCATCATCCGAGTAGAGGAGAATCGTCTCCAATGCTTAGGGTCAAACCCAATATTTTGTAGTTCTTAGTTGACATTGCGAATATCATCATTCCTTCACCATCCGTATCCATCATCATTATTATTGCACACACCACTTGCTTTCCCGATGCTCACTATTGCGTTACTATTAGTTTCTGATACACTGAACCCAATAAACTGAAAACATCAGACATCATAATTATACCTTCGGACATTGTTTCCCGCACTTGGAATATTGACCTCACATCACTCACTGACCCCCAAAACTATTCCCAGACCGCAGACCCCTGGGTCGAACGCACTTGTCCCGCAAGTATAGCAGATAGGCAGTGCAAGACCACAACATAAAGATATCAGTTTGGAGCCATCTTTGTATAGCCCCACTCTGTGTTGTATACCTACATTGGTATCAGGGGGAGTCGCAGTGTCAAGGGCTGCATGCGGTTTGTCATCTTCATCATCCATCATAGGCATATCCTGCATATGGAAGGGGATGGTCTTCTCTTCCTTTTCCAAGAACGGGTATTGTTTCTCCAGAAAATTCAAACTTCTGAGTTTTTACTGGTTCAGTGGCCAGTCTGGGGATCTTTGCATGGGGTGGTTCTTCTGTGACAATAGCACATCCTTTCCCAAGGACAGATGTGGGTTCTGCCAAGAATCTATAGTGACTCAGTTTGGAGGCATTAGCAGGTGTCATCATGACTTCTGCAGGTCATGGTGTGGGGTTCAGCAGCTGAAAAGCCAGTACAATCAGTGAGGTTTTGGGGATCTCCTCAATCTTGGCAGTGGGCAAAGCAGCCAGTGCCGATGCTAGTTTATACTCTTTACAGAGTTTCAAGTTCTTCCACAAGCGATCAATGGCTCACTCGGTCTTCTTCTGGAAGAGAGGCATCAGGCTATCCTGACAATTAAACCACAAACTATACTAAATGTCAATATATCGCAAGTACATCTATGATACTATGGTACAGATAATCCTAGCCAGTCCATCTACAGGATTACAGTGACAGCAACTTGTTACATCTCTAGGGGACTTGCTTGAGCAAGGTGAAGTAGACGGGTGCTGATACAATCAAGATCAAAACCAATGCCTTCTTGGTATATGACCTTCTCGGTGTCTGGCCCTGCAGTACCATCCTTTAAACTATTCTTCAGCTTCCTTTGCTCTTGGACTAGAAACGAGAGCAATTAAGTCGCAGTCTATTATCGCACCAAAAATACTTACATTCCATGACCACTAGTCTCTTTCTCCAGCTTTGGTCATTCAAACCTTTGGCTTCTTGTTCTTTCTAAGAAAACAGTAAGTTATTGCCTATGCGCAACAAATTGGTCTACTCACATCCAAAAGTGTGCAGTGCAACTTTTCTACTTGATAGCTGCATTCTTCCGCCAAGGCTACGCCGGTCTGGTCATCGTGAGCAACACATAGGCAACTGCACGGGTAAACCCCCAGGTAGCAGAGGTCATACCCACACCCATACCTGGCAAAAACCCACACCCACTCAAGGGGTACAGGTGTTTTGGCAGGTATGTGGATATTAGACCCATACCCGCACCTGTGGGGAGTTTACCCACAGGGAGTTTACCCACAGGGAGTTTACCCACGGGTACTACCTAAAATTTCATAGTGAGATAACATACCTTGCACAGCGAGAACGAACAAGAACAAGTCAGAATGAGCTGGAGCGAGTCAGAGCGAGCGAGAACAAACAAGAACAAGCCGGAATGAGCTAGAACGAGTCAGAATGAGCCAGAACAAGTCGGAACAAGTCAGAGCAAGCAAGAATGAGTCGGAACAAGTCAGAGCAAGCCGGAGCGAGCGAGAACAAGTGAAAACAATCAAAGGACAAGGTCACGCACAGCCTGAGAGTGGGACACAGGCACAGCAACATCAGCGTCAACATCAGTGTCGAGCGCGAAAGGAGGACTATGAACCAAACGGAAATGTTCGTAAGTCATGTAGATACATATGAGGTGTGAATACACGCACCTCTGCAGCTTAGCGAAAGACAGCCAGAATCCCTCCACCTCAACTGTGCCCACTGGTGCTATCAACCTTCATCACAAAACGGTGGATGGTTACAGGCTCGAAAATACCTAGTTGTAGTTATAAATGTCAAATAGATTTAAAATAAAAAAACCAAGGCATACCTATTACTGGCTCGTTTGACGACGGCGTGATGTGGGAGGGGCCAGGATGGCTGGACGATCAACGTGCATGTGAGCCCACGAGCACACCACGTTGATCTAGGGCTTTGTAAGCCACATGTGATATCTGTTTGACACTTCCCGCACTCTCATAGCAGCAGGCCCGTGTGCTAAGACATAGATAAGTGCATGCTTCTGTCCAAACGTCCTTTGAATCTTTTCGCCTCATACCACCACCTTCTGGCACTCGGCTCTGATTTTTTAGTCACCTTTTTCGTTTCACTACCACTTCTCTCAGTATTTTTATATGTTTAACATCATGGTTAATAGCAATCCCCCCGCCGGTAGAGCTTCTCTTACCCGAGATCAAATTGTTGCCGAGAATGCCAATATTGCCACGCGTAACCAGGCGCGTCAAACGCGTCACAACCAAGGCGAAACGAATGTCGAAAATGACGAATCTCTCCTTGTCGTTCCCCCGTCCTTTACTAATGTTCCCACTAATCGTCCCCCGGCCAATAATGTCACCGTTGCGTCTTCATCTTCTACCAATGCTTCTTCTTCCACTACCATTAACAATATGTCTACCTCCTTACAAGTACCTATCATTGCCCCTCCCTCACCGAGACCTAACACCCCCATTCCCACCACTACGATCAATATGTCTAGTATGCTTGCTGCCTTCCAAAAGTTATCTCCTTCCAAACAACTATCCTTCCAAGCCTCCATGAACGCAGCACTAACCCCTTCCACACCCGTCGTCACTACTACTAATACAAATACTTCGTCCTCACTTATATTTGATATCACGAAAGAACGATCAACTCCAGCTTCTCATTCCATCAGAGACGTTTATGGCATCCATACATACATTTTAGAGTTAGCCAGGAACAATCAGCATATTCCCTTCTCATTACTCACATCCAAGACTACAAGACGTCTCTTCCTCGAATCATCCACGCTCAAATTCATCACCTTCTACTCTTCCCACCGAGGCTCCGCTCCCACAAAATGTCATCTTCTGGATATCTCACAATTCCCTGCAGAATCCGACATCAGCATTCCTGAATGGCACGAGGCATGGGCACGCTACCTCCATTTCCTCCAGGAACACGCCTCTCCCGAGATTCACACTCGCTGGGCCAATCATTATGACATCCTACGTGACCATCCTGACTTTACAGACAACTGGACTGCCATTCTCACTTTTGATATCGAACAACGCGCATCATATGCAGCGGACCCACAAATCCTCGACAAAGTTAAGTACTTCCGTCAATTCGAAGACATTAAAGGTCGTGTTGCCAGGAAAGAAACCCTAAAGGCCGTCAGCGATGCAATGACCGACCTTAAGAGCCATCGTCATGAACCTTATCCATCCCGGGACCGGGACTCTTCCTTTCGGAAAACGCAAACCTCCGACAAGTCCTTTCGAGTTCCCAACAAGTCCAATGATTCGGAACGTCTCCCTCCCCTATGTCTCACATGCAGACAACTTGGACATACCTTCCCCAACTGTCCTGACTCGTCGTCATCGAGTTTGTCGTCACACTCGAAAGTGGTCAACAAGCAGATCGTTTCACGATCCAATGCAGACGTCAAATATTGCGTCGACTTCAATATCTTCTGTAATGGCAAACGAACCTGCACCAAGCGCACTCACAGAGGAGGCGAAATTCACGCCTGTTCCCTCTGCGGATCCACCGACCATGGTGCCTGTAGTCGGAAATGCCTGGGGGCTTGATCCGCTCCTGATTCCCTTTTCTTGGTGGGACATGGACCCCATTCCCAATACTGCAGCTCCCCATCACGTATACCTAGACAATCTCAGCATCACCCAAACGCCTTATGACGCAGACACAGACTTCTCCAAAATCATCACGCCTTACTCAGCCGATAATCTTGATACATTCTTGCACAACGCTAACCTTCTTGAGGATTACCCAGAACTCGTGTTCAAAATCAAACACGGCTTTCCCCTCGGTCGACTCGACCCCATCCATTCGACTTATGCACCTCCCAACCTTCCCAGTGCCGATGAACACAAGCACGCCATCAAAGAATACATCGAATCCGAACTCGCACTAGGTCACTTCAGTGGACCTTTCTCACAACAAGAGCTAGAAGCCAAAATTGGTCCCTTTCGTTCCTCGCCGCTTCAGGTCGCCACCAAAGATGGAGCACCAGGCGATCCTCCCAAGTTACGCGTCTGCCGCAATCTTTCTTACAAAGGTGCCCTAGGTCGTTCAATTAATGATGAGATTGACGCAAAAGAGTTTCCCACTCGCTGGGGCACAGCAGAACAAGTGGCTACCTTTGTACGTCCTTCTTCCCCCCCCCCTTCTCCTTCCTGTGCACTCTCCACTCCACTACCATCCTTTGCATGACCTCGTGACACACATCGCTGAGGAGTGTATCGTTTGGGCAGTCCGGATGCACATCATTCCTCTTTAGATCCATCCCGATCTATTCACGAAGTGCTACCAATCATGATGGTACTTCTGGGTCATTCGGACCCGCTTCCTCCCTTCCTGATCCTCCATTGATCCTCCCATTCCAAGCACCTCCGCTTATCATTGTCACAGGTCGCCTCCGCCCCTCTGGGCACTCAAGCAGCCTCTCTAGACATCGAAAGTGCTTATCACACGATTCCAATCCTCCCAGATCACAAACACTACTTAGTGGTGCATTTTCACGATCTTTTCTACATAGATCATAACCTCCCTTTCGGCGCATCTTCTGCAGCTGGCATCCAAGGGGAAGTGGCCAATGCTACCGTGGATATTTGGAACCATGCGAAGATCGGTCCCACATGGAAATGGGTCGACAATTTCCTTGTCATTCGAGTCCCAGATCCAGACGGACCTTTCATTGGTATCTCCAACGGTGTTCTATTCCGGTACCGCTACGACATCCAATCAGCAAAGGACTACATCGGTCCCATTAACATACCCTGGCACAAAAGCAAAGGATCCGACTTTGCCGATGTACAGGACTATGTGGGTTACACCTTTAACTTTCCTGCTCGTACTGTCGCTCTTCCAGAGGCAAAGCGTCTCAAATATGTCCATCACCTCCGCTTCTTCCTGGACACTTACTCCACCCGCCAAGTTCCCAAGAAGGCCGCTGAAAAGATCAGCGGTACCCTCACTCACTGCGCCTTCATGTTCTTACACGGCCGCTCATATCTATCCGCCCTATATCGATGGATCGCAGACTTCCCTGCGGACTTCGTTCCTCGCTACATGTGGAAATCAGTCAAATCCAATCTCAGATGGTGGCTCAACCTCCTTGAACACGACCACATGCCTCGTCCTCTTTCTCCAAGACCTCCCACACGAGACTATAACATCTGGGTCGATGCCTCGACTGGCACAGGCATTGGCCTGTACTGGAATGGACTCTGGGAGGCATGGGTCGTTCGCGACGGCTGGTGCGAGCCAATCAGTCATGACATTGGCTGGCTGGAAACTATCGCGATCGAGTTTGCCGTTACCATCACTTCCTCCTTTGGCATTTCCAATGCTGATATACTCATTTGCAGCGATAACGAAGGTGCCATCGGTGCCTTCCGTAAAGGCCGTTGTTTGAACCTCGCCTCTAACACGTGCATCAGACGCACTGAAGCTGTACTTCGCGCGGCGAATCTCTCAATATCGCTTATATATGTCCACACCAGCATCAATCTCGCAGACCCCATCTCCCGAGGTATCCTACCCGAACTTTCCTCATGTCTACCTTTCCGCATTCCCATCCCCGAAGAACTCTCACCTTTCATTGAGTATGGAACCCACTCCCAACTCTGAACTGGAACTCGTCTTTGACATTCCAGATAATCCCCTCCGTCTAGACTCCATCAAAATCCGCGAAGCAGCTGTCATGCGCCCGGATGGACGAGTACGAATTCCACGCAAACCCCGCAAAGACGCTTCCATCACCCCCTCCACACACCGTCCTCACATACTTGCCAGTGATCGGGTTTTTCTTTGGACCACTCCACACGGTTTTGACCATCAACACGAGTTAGAACAACTCTTTCCTGAATCTGACATCCTCAAAATGTTCTTCATACTCACCCAGTCCCTTGATGAGAGCACCCGCAGCAACTACGGCGCGGGACTTCTTCGTTTCACCCAGTATTGCGACAAACTCCACATTCCTGAGACCCAATGCATGCCAGCTTCCAATGCCTTACTCTCTGCGTTCATCGCAGCATCTGCAGGTTCCATCTCCGATAGTACCGCGAGCAATTGGCTCGCAGGTTTACATTTTTGGCACATCGTCAACGGCGCCCAATGGCACGGCACTGACTCCCCTCTTCTGCACCATATGAAACGTGGTCTCACACGTCTAGTACCTCCCAATTTAAAACGAGCACAACGTCCCCCAGTCACATTAGACACACTTGTCCAACTAGGTCAAGGACTTAACCTATCAAACTCCTTCGATGTCGCAATCTTCGCCATTGCATGCGTCTCCTTCTGGTCCTGTTGTCGGTAGGACTTCCTGTTCCTCTCCAACCGCGACCTTATTCTAACATTATACCAAGTCTTGGTGAACTCTTGATCCCCAGTCCAAATACTTTCGATGCAATCAAGCACGTCTCTCGCTCTATCCTTCCCATCATCACGCATAATTCCCACAATGTACGTCGACTATCCTTTCATATCCCATGGACAAAAACTACGGGCACCAACGGCGCAGACATTAGCATTACGGCTCGGGATCACCCCACTTGTCCCCTCGTCGCACTCCTTTTACATCTTGATGTCAATACCAATATTCCTTCTCACGCTCCATTATTCTCCTTTGAAACAGCAGACGGCTCATGGTCACCAATGACAAAAACTTGGTTCATGGATCACATCAATACCATCTGGTCAGCGGCCGGTCATCCAATCATGCCCGGACACGCCTTCCGCATTGGCGGGGCCACAGAACTTCTGTTAGAAGGCGTTCACCCTGACATTGTAGCAACGCAGGGCCGTTGGAAATCGAGAGCATTCCTTGACTACTGGCGTCAGATTGAGTCTGTCCTTCCTTTATTTATTGCTACTGCTTCATCCACTCCCATCGCTCTTACGCGCTTACAATCCAACATGCATGAATATTGTCGTCTTCGCTCTGTACCCTCTTAGACTTGTATTAATCCAATCATACACACATTGCATCTTTTACAATTCCTTCTCATGTCTCGTGTTGTGTCTGGGTCGGGCGTCTCGAAGAGACACTCGACTCGTATTCGAGCCATGCTCCAGGTATGGTTTGGTCTCGTTTTCTCTTCTTCTTCTCTGCGGTCCCCTCCATCCCGCACCTCGAGACTCGATCACAACACGCTCTGAGGGTCTGTCCCCTCTGCGTCCGGTTATCTCAAAAAACCTCTTCTCAGCCCCCAATAACCCGGACTCAGACTGCTCCTCCCAGACCACGCACACAAGCGCAGTCTGGCAGAGCCAGACCCTCCCCACCACCACGAAAGCGAAGCTTTCGTGGTTAATCACTAACTAGACTTCTCATTCGCCATACTGATCTCATCTCGCATTCCATTACCGCATGACATCGTGCACACGAAATACACTCACTCCCGCATCTCAGAAATCAACCAACAATAGTATTTCGTCCTCATTATTCCTAACGTATACGGCTTTAACTACAAAGCACAGTGGATAAGTTAGAAACATTGATTACAAAATAATTACCATTTTGGAAGGCACGGGTATGCCAGGGGTACGGGTTAGTGCGCAGGTCACAGAATTCCAACCCGTACCCGTACCCCAGTAGTACCCGTCCCCCGAACCCGCACGGGTTACCCCAACCCGTGCAGTTGCCTAGCAACACATCCTTCGAGAAAATGCACTGCGCTGTTCATGCCCCTGAGGCTAATGGTAGTTCGAATCAGTCGTCGTCGCAGCGAACATGGAGCATGAACGTACAATGCTAGCTGTGCGCTATCTTTAGCATCTCCGTATACAAGCAGAGGTTCGCAGTAGTTGAGCAGGTCCTCGATACTCTTGTACCAGGCGGCGAGCAAGTTATGCATGTTAATGGAGGAGCAACTAAACCGTGTTAAGTAGTAGAAGTCAGGGGTTGTAAGAGGGAGTCGGAGCTGTTTCGAGATGTTAGCTGGACTTTATAATGACCGTTTGAAATTTCTGGAAGTGCATCTCATTAGCGAACACGTCAAGAATATACAAGAACAAGTTTACAGTCATATGCATAGAACAAAAACGCAACGACTCAGCCAGTTCTCCGTGGGGTTGTGCCATTGTTCTGATTAGTACATGAAATTCATCTATGCATGAAATAATTGTCGGTTAAGGAATAGTTGCGGCAGAAGTCTGAAAATGACCTTTGAATGACCTGCAGGATTTTATATAAAACCTGTTAACAAAAACCCTCAGTAGTAACTGAGAATTCAGGCGTGATTGGCACTTTCTATCTTCTCAAGTGAAAGCTGTCGGATAATCAAAAATGAATGAAAGGATGCCTCGTGTATCAGTGCTCACCGATCGATCTTTTTTCTCCTTCGCAGTGAGCTTTGGTTTGACCTTCCTCTTTGGGATACCTATCGATGCGGTCTTCGTAATGCTGGTAGAAGCATTCGTTGTCGTAGCATTCGTTGTGTACGTCGTTTCAAACTCTTGGTTTTCGGTCAACGAACATTGTTTACGTAACGCTCTACACTTGTTCATTTTAGGCCTCTGTCCAACTTGGAGCCTTGATTGGTTCCGACACGAGGTAACACTCGAGTCCGAGTATGTGGTACATACCTTGTTCCAACTCGGAGCCTTGATCACTTTTGAGTCGGAATTCTGCTTTCGCCACTAGCAGGAAACGGATTGCTCATTCAACCAATTGGTGAGTTGCATAAGACGGAATGTTTTTTAAAGCTTGTCTCACTTCAATGAAGGATCCAGAAACGGACAATATGTCTAAGTCGTCGTTGCTGTTCGCGAGTGCGAGGGTGTTGATGCATTGATGGCTGACAGGGACGGTGGTATGGGCGCGGGCTCATGTTTTGGAATACTTGTGTGATGCCGATAAATTATAGGACACAAATTCACACAATGGTACAATCCTCCATACCTGAGACATTCATACTGAATAACTCGGCAACAGCGTATCCGGCACTGTCAGCAAGATAATACAGAAGGCAGGCTTTGGTGGAGAATGATGATGTGAAGATGCCAGCGTTCCCGAAGTATGGCACACGGTCAGTCAGGCTGTCATCGCGCGATCACACTTAATATTTGTACAATGCACAAGTGCAGGACACAGAGAATAAATGGCTGCCTTACTTATGTGTCGTGGGAGCTGATCAAACATAATCTCTGGCGGGCGCTTGAGACCCGTACGTGAACCGTCTTCCTGATACGGTTCAATGTCCTAGCCTCTGCCCAATGTGGACCAGTAAGCATCCAGGATCAATACCAACGCTATACTGTACCTCTGTGTATCGAGCTAACCGTAATGCGTCACAGGGCCTTGGTTACGTTTCTAATTTATACCCCACCATAACGCGTTAGAGGAGGTCAGCCACTCCAACACACAGGCATCCGATGGTGGACCACTGGTTGCTAACTTTGCAACTGCGGCGGTACGTCACCCACGATTCACGTCATACAGTTGCCTCTATACACAGATATAGTTTCGGTGTTCAAGAACACACCGATGCGCAAACCAAGCTCAGATGCTTACCAATGAAGCCGCTCAGCCTTTAAAAAGAGTTTCAAGATTGGCCGCAGCACTTCAAACCCCATGTCTCAGTACTCCATGATGCAGACACTTGTTTTGTATGACACCCTCTCCAACCTACCAGGAAATAACTTTTCACCCAACCCCGCAAAGCCGAGGTCAGTAATTCATGTTCTGTATGTCACACTTTAATATCTACTGCGCCCTAGGTTCGTTTTGAGCTACAAGGGTCTTCCATTCGTGACTGTCTGGGTCGAATACTCAGACATCTCGATCGCTATGAGGGCTATCGGTGCAAAGCCAAACAAACGCTCAGACGGCTCGGATTTTTGCACCGTTCCCGTCCTCAACGACCCCAACACCGGCGCACTCATCAGTGACTCCCTCGAAATCGCCTCCTATCTTGAAAAGACATATCCCGAGAAGGCCATTTTCCCCAACAACTCAGAATCCTTGATACGCGAGTTCGACTCCGCCCATACCAGACTCATTTTACCTGCTGCAAAGTCTCTCTTGGCGCGTTCCACAGAAATATTGAGTCCCGCCAGTGCTAAGTTCTTCATCAAAATTCGTTCGATAGACGTCCCGCTGCCTTGGGACGCGACTTACGATGAAGACTGGGCCCTACTAGAGAAGGGGCACAATACTGCGTATGAATGGTACCAGAAGACAGACGGTAAGTGGTTCATGGGCGACACTTTTTCGTATGCAGATATCATCGTGGCTTGTTGTTTGCTGTGGTTTGAACGAGTTCTGAAGAAGGATGAGTGGGTCAGGATCAGTTCTTGGAATGGAGGGAAATGGGCTCAAGTTCTTGCAGATGTTGAGAAGGAGTGCGGATTAGCGTAGGAGACTGCGTATACTATATAATTTATTTCAGAGGCATATGAAACAATGACGAGTTGGTCAACCGGTCACCTTTTAGAGTCAGTGACGACCACATTTGTGAAAGCGCAAACAATCGACTCAGGAGGTGATCCTGACAAACATGAGAACAGCAAACCGGCCCTGTATCGTTTGTCAGACGCCGATCTGCAACTTAGGAATAGCTATCACTCTCCTTAATCATGGATCCTCACCCACAGGCGGATTTTGCCCTTGTCGAAAAGCGCATTCGAGCTGCTACAACCATGCTACGAAACATGGGCCGTCATTATGATAATGTGCCGTCGGTGGATCCTAAACATGTCCCTTCCCTCTTGCGCCACTTTGCCAATATTATCACCCGCGATGACATTTCCAGCTCTAAAGAAAAGAAAGCTATTTCAGTGACAGGTGCCATTTTTCACGATGGGGTGGACATGAAGCTCCAGGCATTAATAGTCACCCAAAATCTCTACCCCTCTTCTCCCTTGTCTGAGTTAAAGTTAGAAGAAGTGACTAAATCTCACAAATCATTCCAAGAAATTGTCAACAATAGGTGCGAACTTCAATGTTGACCATATTCTCTACAGGCCGCTTATGGTTCTTAGAAATGGTGATGTATCCCTCAAAGAACACATCTCAGATGTTTGGACGGCCTTGGCATCCTTCGAGGATGACCAAGACTCAGCCAACCTCTTTGCGTTATGCAGATTCATTGTCAGTCGTTGTTTTCATAACCTGTTCACGCGAATTTTTTTGGACCAGAAGACATGGGACGTCCATGTGGCCTAAAAGTTGTGTGATTGGACGCCAGAGGCCAACGAGCTCCCGGAGACTCACTGGTTTGACGCACCCACATGGTTTGGCCTGGTTTCCATACCATCTGACAACTTGATTCGGAAAGGCCTGAGGACGCGTAAGCAAGGTCCGGCAGACAAGCAGGTCACGCAGCTGGAATTCTCAAGCAAGACTGTGCAATTTTGGGCTTGGCCGCTTGGCCGCTTCATCATGCTACTCGAATCTGATGCCACAGAAGCCCAGAGGATGAAGGAGAAGGAGAACATGCTTAGATTCAAGGATGCAGTTGCCAGAGTCTCAGACCAATTTCTGATGTTGTTTCGATATATCTATTGGGAGGCCGGCATTGTAAAGACCCTTCTTGACAAAGACTACACTGGCCTCGACATTTGGCAAGCTGCCCTGCAATTTGGAAGGTGCATTGTTTTTTTCAATATCTACATCGTAATCTAATATTATATATCCTTCAGGTAGTCAGAGCAAGTGGTTTCTCATTCATGTTACTGCCAAACCAATTATTTGAACATAGATGTGTATGATTGGAACGAGTCCGATGACTTATCACCACAACCTCACGAATCTGTTGGACAGCGCGTCTTACGGCACTTGAAGGCCATCGTTGCATGGCATACTGCCGTAGGAACACTTTGTTCGGCCGAAAATTCCCAGTTTATTCGTGGCAAACTTACCCTTGGTTTGCTTGACGTTCCACATTGCGGCTATGAAATTGCCACCTTGGATGATATCTACGAAGAATACTTCAAGAGGTATGACTCGGACTCGGAGGCTCACAAAGCTGTGGTCAAATCTTTTATGAAAACTTACCTTCCACTATCCTTCCCCGGCACCATCCATGCGGAGGCTACCTTTTCTCGTATTTCTCGGCTTCTACCCGTTACCATGCTGCTCACGACATCCCTCTTCCTGATGATCATGTCATGGCTCTGCGTAACTTGCTCGAACCGGCAAGTCTTATGATCTGACTCTTGAGCTTGGGATTTAGGCAACCATCAATGGTGCCATTGCATTGAACAAGAAGTGTTGTTTGTGTTGTTGGCGTTTTCGCTTCCAGCTCTCGATGGTCAATGGCGTGAGATGCAAGTTGCCAGGCTCAAACGGCATGATATATCCGTGGAGTCCTCCTCGTGTCGGAGTCGATCTCAAGGTACTCCTTGAACTGGAGGATAGTTTTTGGACAGATCTACATATTCGAGTCCTTGAAATTCGCCATTCTGCACGTAATTTCTGATTCAGCACCTCCTCATCCACTCGACAATTCACCTCCGGTTTATCTTCTGTAGTATTTCTAGTGTCTTGGCGTCCATCGTATGTGTAGCTAATGAAAGCCAACGTGTTGCCATGATATCGTGATATGATGTCATCCTTTGAGTTCTCCGTCGTGCTGCCGCGATAGCAAAAATGAATCGAAAGGCTGTCCAAGGCCAACTATCGAGCGCAATGCCCGCGAGTGAGAATTCCAAGAGACTGGCTCCACTGAAGATGTTGTGAAAACAAGTTTCAAATTTAACTGTGACGACAAGGTTACCAAGGTTGCACCGCCACGAGCCTCGGGCCCTTTCGGTGTTCGCCCTTCTTGGTTACTACCCCGACTGTAGCTTTCATGACAGAGCGTGCTGACACCCTCCATGTATCAAGAGCAGAAGTCTGGTACCTCAAGGAAATCGCGTTTGGAAGCACGGAAACAAAGCGAAGATTAAAAATCATAACACAGAATTTCAATGGGTGCGTGTCTCGTAATATTGTGGTGCTGCGGCATGTGCATTAGGTTCCACATACTTAATATTGCTCGACAGACCTTGTTCATTCATTGCTATTTGTGAGTGTTGTTACTGCTCTAATGCAAGATCGACGCTGAGGTAGCGCGTTGTGATGTGCAGGCAATATTCTGATACTGCGAGGGCAAATTGAGATCCTGCCATATGAGCGGGGAACAGTGTCGTATGAGTTTCTTGCGCAGCTCGTAGGAGAGTACCTCCTCATGAGCTGTCCGGATATTGATGTCTCTGCTGCGCTCTCGATTATGCCCAGTACCACCAGTGCGCACCATCTCTTTCCAACTTGTATAGTAGTTAATGAAGCTAATATGGTGTTAGAGGGCCTCGACCTCAACCCTGTCTTCACAGGCGCTACGTCATTTCGACCTGCAGGGGAAGGTGGGGAATTGAAATTGTTTGAGCAGGCAGGGATAGAGCTCGTGCATGGGTGGCTTGTTGACCCTGACAGCGAGGAGTACAGGGTGTTGCAGCATGTGCGTGATTACGATACTGCTGTAACACTCATTGCGGATGCGGATCATGTCACGAGGGGACGGTTGTTGAGTGGGGATGTATGGGGTGAAGGTGAAGGTGAAGGTGAAGTAGGGAGTAGCAGTCAAGTGGAGAGCGGCCCGAGTGGCTATGCGGGCCCGAGTAGTGCTAGCGATAATTATTCGGAGAAAGATAGAGAGAAGATCGAACATGGTATGATTTAATTTGCTATGCGAGATTATTGCTAACGAGTTTTTTTAGCGCTTGTGACACAAGCGTTCCTGGATAGTACCAAGTCTCAATTGACGTATCATGGGCTGTTTCAACTCGCGTCTACGTTACAGCCAGGGTCGCTTGTTGCATTGTTCCGAAATTCGCACCTTTCTGTGTTGCATAAGCGAGAGGGAGAAGACTCGTCACTTTACAGTTTAGTCACGGATCATGTGTTTTTGCAAGAGCCGTCGGTAGTATGGGAGCGCTTAGAAGATGTCGATGGGGTTGGGTCGACGTTCGTGGACTCGGATTTTGTTCGTTCGACACCTGTGGGGGGCGATTTCGCTGGACAAACGGCGGAAAGCGCATTGCATGCCCTAGAGATGGAAGGGAACCCAGAGTAAGATTTATGTGATTGTTTCCAAGATCAATTACTAAAAACCGAGTTACACAGTGTGATATTAGCACGACAACTACAAGCGGAAGAAGATGCACGGTCGCATGAGATATATAAGCGGAGGCAGCAACAGCAGGAAATTCGACAGAAGGAAGAGGAGGAGCGGAAACGGAAGAACGAGGATAGTGCTAGTAGGAAAAGCAAGAAGATGAAAGACAAGTGCATTATAATGTAGAATGCTATACCCGATAATTTTATATGTATTGCCATGTCATATGTGCCATGTATCTGCGTCGGCTTGCGTGTGAGCGAAACATAATTGCAACCAATAGATTGGATTATAATCATCACCAGAATGATCAAAATCATGATGTGGAATGGGAACAATGCCACAAGAACAACAATTACAAACAAGGAACGTCTCAGTCATCGTACGCCTCAACCACAAACCCCATCCTTACATTCCTTCCCCTTATCCCTCGAGCTCATCGCCGAACACAGCGAGCACGAACCAAGTATTCATCACTTGTTCCGATTAATCGCTTGTAACAACATTCACGATACCACTCGTCGTCGACTCGCACGCCATGCGCGAATCAAATCATGCTTTTCCCGCACAGAATAGGGCTTGTGTTTGCATCACCTCCCAATGCTACGATAGACGAGGTCAGTCCACTTAAATTAACTATGATCTTTCAAGTCTAAGTTGATTTCAGGTCTTGATACATCTTCGCCACTTCCGCTATTCACCTCCTTACACCATCTTACATATCTAACTTCAACTTCAGCCCGAATACGCGAGATCATGACAATGGACGGCGCAATCGAGCGTCTTATGCGCATTCTTTATGATTACTGCTTGTGTCCTCCTCCGCCAGAGATCCCTGGTTACATCTACGGTCTTTCTCCTCCAAACTCACGCCCTTCAAAGCTTATCCCAACAATCAACCCTTTAAGTTATGACAAGCACGCCGCCTATCGATTTAGCTTGGCTCTTCAGAGTATCGTTAATATCGGTATAAGAGGCAGCGAGCCGATCCGCAGTCGCATCGTTCAGGCTGGCGCCCTCGAAGTAGTCGGTTGTATCCTCGAGTCATGGTTAGCTCATAAAGGGTTTGCCATCGGTCCCAGTGCAAGCGCATCCGGTTTACCTCGTGAATCTCGCGAGCATCGCCTTGCCCGTCGGGCCGCACTCCAGGAACAAAGACAGCGAGAAGAAGCAACACAGCTCCACCGCGCACTCCAACGTCAAATCGCCGCCGATGCCGCTAACCGCACAGACTTCATTACATCCCGTATCGATTCAATTCAAGATGTCTGTCTTTGTGTTATATGTCATCTCCTCACTGATCCCCTTTCAGGATGCAACAATGGCGGATATCGGTACCGAACCTTCCTATCCGAATTTTTCTGTGCATCTGGGCCAAACACCTGCCCCCGTCCAAGTACAAGTAGCTACACGCGAACGACCTTATTATACCCGTCACTCCTCGTCATCATCTCATGAGGCAGATACTTCTGCCGAAACATCTATTAATCCCACACCTCAAGGTACAGACACACCGACTATAACTGTCTTGGTCAATGCTCGTGAGCGCAGCGGTACCATAATTGCTCGCCGTGCTTGGGACGATCCCGCAATCGCGCCTACCACAATGCGTGCAAGGGCTCATCGTGTTCGCCCTACTACCGCGTCACCTGATGAATCGACCGACAACTCAAGACCTGAAACAGAAACCGAGGATGATGGTGACGCAGACGTCGATATGTCGCAAGATACTGATGACAGTGCAGTTCCCCCTGTCTCAGCACCCCGTGTACGGCAGCCTTCGCGATCGATAACGCTCACTCAGCGTCCACGCCGTGCTGTGGGTATAGTCTCAGATGCAGTCCCAGGACCTGCACCTCTTCAAGTGAATGCGGACGCACATATTATCATTCACCATGAACAGGGTGGAGATGGAATGGCAGTGGGTGTGGAAGACGGTATTGTATCATTGGAGCCAAATGATGATTTTGCGATGGGGGCGCCTCCTGGTGCACCAGGGGCCATGGATGAGACGATTCCTGCGCGAGGTCTCCGTGGAGTTGATGTCCCTTTGGCTGATCGAAGAGTTCGCACTGCCCCAGATGCAACGCCCCGTGCCACGGCTGTTCCCCTCCCCGCGGCCCCTATTTTGCCGAATGTTCCGCATAGCGAAGAACCTGCCCGTGAGGGCGCAGCTGCGAATCGTGGCGAGCACCCTACTCCAACTGCCACCATGCACACAGTGCGCACTCCGAGCCATCACCACCAGCACCGCGATCCCGACCAAGGTCCGTTCAGGGACGAAGACGTGCTTTTTAGTCTCCAGCTCCTCGCTTATCTTAGCAAGTATCCGCATGTGCGGCAGGCATTTTATAAGCAACGCCCATCATTCCACCCTGCGGCTGCTAATCTTAGCCCTCGTTCTCAACCGCAACCTGTTGCTGGACCCAGTGGTACGCGGAATGCTCCTGCTCCTGTCAGTGCCCCTTCACCTACGCCACCAGCGAAAGAACAACATGGATTCTTTCGCGCACTTGCATCCGCTACTGCACGGGGTAAGGAGAAGGAGAAAGTGCCGCTTACTACTCCGGTGCAACCCCAACGTATGACGAATGTATTTTCTCTCGTAGAGCGGTTTACTTTCCGCCCCAGCTTGACGGAGAACGAGCTTCCCCAACCGCCACCAAAGCTTCCTCCAGAAATATCCTACTGGGCGGGTGTGATCATGCGAAATGCATGTCGGAAGGACGATAGTCGGGGCGGAATACGGCAATGTGCAAACAGTGAGTGATTTATTTCTTACCGGTGAATCGATGTTGAGTGAGTATAGTGCTGTGTGGACGCTGGGAGACCTATCCGCGAGAGTTTGCAAAATGCAGACGATGCCGAAAAGCGAAATATTGTGGCAAAGAATGTCAGAGCACAGCATGGAGCGAAGGACACCGATTCTGGTGTAGTGTGAAGGATGGAGATGAAGCGGAGGAACCTACGGAGCATCAACACGGTACGGACCATGGTCATGGGGAGGGTGATGGAGAGACGCCTGCATCTGTTGCTGCTGCTGAAGCTGCCCAGGCCCGTGCGGAGAGAAGAGCAGAGAGGGAACGACAACTGCGGGAGCGCGAACGGATTGTAGGAACGATTGCTGCTAATCATATCGTTCAGCAACACATGTTGCACCCGCCCGTGAATCCTCCACCTGTTGCGGCTCAATTGACTGTCCGACCCCGCGGTGCTGTTCTTCCTCCTACCAATCAGCCTCAGCCTGTCATT